CTGTATTAAGTGTGTAATGATTGTGATTTCAAGTTCACTCAGAAAATTCTACATATGACTTTGAGAACCTCAGAGGGTTCCTGGCTCATCCTCAAAACAAATTCCTAAAAGTGACAAAGAGATGAAAGGGAGGAAGGGTAAGTTGAAGAGAGGAAGAGTTAAAGGAGAATGAGGAGGAGGAGCAGGGGCTGGAAGAAAGAAAGGATGAAAGAGAAGCAGGAGAAGGGGGTGCGGGAAAGCAGGAACTGCAGGGAGGAAGTCTTAGACCAAGGTTGACTTGGAGACCTAGCTTGGAGTGGCAATGAAGGACACCTGTGGGTGAAGTGAGGAAGAAACGTCACAGCCCCCCTTGACTCCAGAAACATCACAGCCCCCCCTTGACTCCAGAAACGTCACAGCCCCCCTTGATTCCAGAAACGTCACAGCCCCCCTTGACTCCAGAAACATCACAGCCCCCCCCTTGACTCCAGAAACGTCACAGCCCCCCATTGATTCCAGAAACGTCACAGCCCCCCATTGACTCCAGAAACGTCACAGCCCCCCCTTGACTCCAGAAACGTCACAACCCCCCCTTGACTCCAGAAACGCCATAACCCCCCCCTGACTCCAGAAACGTCACAGCCCCCCCTTGACTCCAGAAACGTCCTAACCCCCCCTTGACTCCAGAAACGTCACAGCCCCCACTTGATTCCAGAAACGTCACAGCCCCCCATTGATTCCAGAAACGTCACAGCCCCCCCTTGACTCCAGAAACGTCATAACCCCCCCCTTGACTCCAGAAACGCCATAACCCCCCCCTTGACTCCAGAAACGTCATAACCCCCCCTTGACTCCAGAAACGTCATAACCCCCACTTGACTCCAGAAACGTCACAGCCCCCACTTGACTCCAGAAACGTCCCGGTCCCCCCTTGACTCCAGAAACGTCCCGGTCCCCCCTTGACTCCAGCTTTATGATTTACTTTAATGAAATTCAAAAGTGCTCTCCATCTACATTTACGTGAAGCAGACGTAGAGAAATGTGCCAAATATTCTGCAAGTAGATAAAACATTCTTCCTCTCTGTAAAATGCCCATGTAGAAACTTACAGTAGGATCTGCCTCCCAACCCGTCACAGTCCTTAGAGGGGTGTGGCTCATGTTCCGGGAGTCTGGGGAACTGATCACTACAATATATTTTGATTATTTGCATAGCTCCCAACAGCGATCTGCTTGGTGACTCAGTCAGACCGCGTGGCCCTTCGCCACATTAGTGCCTGTAATGTGACTGCGGAAGCCATCCACAAGAGAATATGCATCACATTTCCCACATATTAGCAGAGTCAAGAAGAATGTAGAAAAAGAAACAGATGAGAATGCTTCATTTAAGTAATTTTTACACCTCCAAATGGCTACAATTAATCACCAGAAATTATTCAATCATGATTAGAAATCACCAAATTTTTTCTCAAAGTATATTTCAGGACATTTCTGGGAGATTTCTATTCTGAATCAAATGTACAGCATTCATGCTGCTTAGCTAGTGGTCTTCCCATCAATAAACACATATAAAATTTTGTTACAAGGACTAACAAAAGTTTTCCTCACATTTACTAGCAAATTTTTGGGAAGCATACCAAAAGGCAAGCACATAGCAATACTCCTTTATTTGGGTCGTAGATGATTCAGGCACTTAGTTTTGACGGCCATTATTTTAATCTAGAGCTGTATAGTTTAATATGGTTACCATGTGGCTATTTAAATTAAAATTAATTAAAACTAATTAAAATTCAGGTCCTCAGTCCCAGTAGGCGCACTTCGAGTGCTTAACAGCCACATATGGCCAGTTGCACTGTATTGAGACAGTGTCGATAGAGAACATTTCCGCCACTGAACAAGGTTGTATTGCCACTGCTCTGATCCTTAGAGACGCTGTGAGGGGCAGGCTGCACGGGACAGGGGGCAGAACTCAGTCAGCTGGGTTGTTTTGGCGTCTGGAACAAAGAAGGCCACGAATACTGAACTATTTCATCAGCTCAGCCTGAGATGGAGAACCCTAAAAATGTGAATCCATTTATCTATCTCTGATGCTCCCATTTTCTGCTTTAGTAGATTTCATGTCTGATGTTACCATAGAATGCTTTTGGTGTTGCTAGAATGGACGGTGCTTCTAACATGACACTGTTCACGTCAGGTAAGCCAGAACACACACAAGGGGATGACGGACACCTTGGGCAGGGAGCCCAGGTTGGAAACTTTACACATGGAAATGCCCCTTTACAGGCTGCGATAGCCTTCATCATGGTTTGAAGCAGGGAGTCTCGAGGATTTCAGAGACACAGGCTTCCTAAGATTCTGACCAAGAAGTAGACCATCTTATCACCAATGTACCCCATTTCAGGCATCACAGTCTTTCTTGGAGGCCTCAGGGAATCCCATGGGGTGCTGGAGACAGCCAGTGCTGCCTGGGGAGGCACTGTTCCCCTTGGTCACCTCAGGGAACCCTGCAGGGTGCTGGAGACAGCCAGTGCTGCCTGGGGAGGCACTGTGCCCCTTGGTCACCTCAGGGAACCCTGCAGGGTGCTGGAGACAGCCAGTGCTGCCTGGGGAGGCACTGTGCCCCTTGGTCACCTCAGGGAACCCTGCAGGGTGCTGGAGACAGCCAGTGCTGCCTGGGGAGGTACTGTGCCCCTTGGTCACCTCAGGGAACCCTGCAGGGTGCTGGAGACAGCCAGTGCTGCCTGGGGAGGCACTGTTCCCCTTGGTCACCTCAGGGAATCCCATGGGTGCTGGAGAATATTGTACAGGGTTTTGATTTTGCTGCTTTTATTTTTGTTGGGTAGGGTGGGAGAAAGTGATGCTGGTTCCTTTAACTGTACAGTTCTCTGGAATATTCACAAAGTCCTCTACCCCTCTGTAGCACCAAAATGCCCCCATAGTAAATGCACCAAGGAATAAGCATGGATAAACTCAGGGATTGTTCAAAAAACTATGTTTTGATATTATGTCAGTGTAGTGGGAAGACTTGAAAACAGTAGCAAAGTTCTAAATGATAGAAGTCTACAGGTTCTAGAATAAGATGCTTCTCTAAATTTATGCCATTTTACTATCAGTGACAGGAAATAAACTATTTCCTCCATATTATTAGTTTTCATCCTACTAAATCAGTACTGTAATAAATAGTACTCAAAAAATTAATACAATCATGAAAAGAAAAGCAGTTTATAGCCCTTTATAACTGTACTTACTGCCGGGCCATCAAAGATAAGCAAAATGATACATCTCAAATTCTTATTAATAACTTACTTTCCAGATGAATATTTCTGGTCTTCTGATACTTCTAAAAGTCATTCCTCAAATGGTCAGAATGTCCGCATTAATTCCTTTTACTAATACAATTTACATGTAGGCTATAATTACTTAAGACAGTAAAAACCACAGATCACTTTTTACAAAGAATTAAGGCATATTATTTTACACAACAGGAATCAGGGTTTTGAGAACCCCACTTGTTATCCTGAAGCTGTGAGTCAGTACACAGACAAGCAGACAGAAAATTCAGGTGATTTTCACATAGATAAACAAGTAAGAAAACTGATGTAGGTCATCAAATATAAATAAACCTCCAAATCATGTCAAAACACTGAACTACATTCATGTTATAAAACCAAGATATCAGAAATGGCTGCACATTCTATATATTTTCCGCATTGTAAGTATGTGTTTATATAACAAATTCACAGTTAAATAGAGATGATTATAAAAAAGATAACATTTGTAACTCTTCATTCCCTCACCTTACAAAACTGAAGACAAAATTTAATGACAAGGATACCACAAGGTTTCTCTTATGGCTTGGAATAATCTTAAATTCAATAATCAAATATCAGATGATTGCTCAAGACTTAGAAATACTCGGTAATAATGTAGTGATATTTTAAGGGTATTTTTTATCTAATTCCAACAATGTCTTTCAGTCTTTGCAGAGGGATAGTTCATTTGTATACCTATTTGCTTGGACAAATTCTTTAATGTTGTGATTTTCTAATTGCAAGCAAGGCTTCCATTTGTCCTCAGATATGGCTACTGGACTGCTTAGTCGAGGTGTCAATGGCCTGAATCAACTGTCTTTTACTCAAAACCTTTCCTCCCCTCCACCGAGGTGACACACGCGTATAGCTGCTTTGTTGTTGGCAGGCAGAGAAAGCCCTTCTGGCTGATAAATATCACCTAATGCAAAGTGGCTGATGACGAAAATAATTAAATAGCAGAAGCTGGTGGGAGATCAGCATTCATTTTTCAAATTAAATGTAAAAGCCTCCTCCACTTAAGAGATTGGCGAGTTCTTACAAATAACATCAGCCTGCCTTTTAGAAAGAAACACAGCTACATTAGGATGGAGTCATTAGGCAATACATTTATTTTGAAGCCAATTAACCTTTTGTCAGAAGAATGTCGGTGCTGCAATGGCTTCCGCAGTGGAGGTCGGCTGCTCACAGGGCACGTATGACAGCCCCGCTGCTGGCCGGCACAGGCTGCGGGCAGAGCAGCCTAGGAGGAAGGCTCTGCCTTCTCTGTATTCTACTCTGCATTTCCAGGGAGCACACAATCTTGACCCATCCATTTAGGTAATTAAAGCTTCCATTTGGAAGTGTCCTGCAGGAAGGTGAAATCTGGGGGAGATAAATGGCTGTTGCTCTCTGTATCTCCGCCAGTTCCATCATTTGATGGACTGCCTGAAACCGGCCCGGGCTGCCAGGTTCTCATAAAAATAGAGATGAATGGGGCAGCAGACAATTCTCCAAGGCAAAGCAACTCTGTCATTTCCCCCTTTGCAGGCTGTAATTTAATTGTTAGCCAAGGTGGACGGCTGACACCCAGGGCTTTCTCTAAGAGCTAACCCACCAGCTTTGCTTTGCTCAGACAGGACTGGGCTTATTTACTTAGCAGCCAAGCTTGTATGGCAATGGGAGATGTCACTCCAGCAGGCACAGCTGGCTGTCACAGCTGTGCCCTCACTTACCTTCCAGGCTATTTTGTTTCCTTTGGAGTCATGCTCAAGGGCAATTGGGAAGTCTCCTCGTTCATAAAATTTTCTGAACGCTGTGGGCTTGGTTGGTCGTTCTTTAAATGCCCCAGCAGTTGGAGGGCCTCTCACCTGAAAGGAAAAAAAGAAAGAAAACGGAAATCAAGTTTTTAAATACACTTAAAAGAGAGGGACGTTTTGTTACTCAAGATTTTTTAGAGTCCACTTTGAATAACAATACTGGAATACAGGACAACCAAAATATGTGATAGTAAGATACAATGGCGTCTCATATAAATATAAGAATTTAGGATAGGAACTTATTTTACAGGCATTATTTCAAGCTTCTTTGAAAAGCATTCCTAGAAATTACCTTCTTAAAAGGAAGATTAGCATGACTTCACGTTAAAGGGAAATTTTAATAGCGGTATCTAAATTCAGAGTGTTAAAACTTCAAACATTTCTGTTAACTCTAAATTTTAATCTCACATCATTATACTTTGTGGAATATGAAAGTAATACGCTTGAAATATTTCTTCCTTGCCATATTTTTACATATGCACAAATGGTGGAATGTGGTCTCAAGGATATTCACAATGAAACTATAAAAAGTGACAAAACTGAAAAATATAGAAAGAGACGCTTGGAAACATGAAAGCATGAGAGAGACACATTGGAATAGACTAGATGAGAATCTTCCGCTCTCAAAATTGTGAAATTTTCATTAAGTAACTTTTCCTAAAGGATTTTCACACTGAGTATATCTTTTACTTTTGTAATTTTGTATCTGTACTGATTCAGTAGGTTTCAAAATTCAAAGTGAGAGATGAAGACTTTAGGCAATTCTGGTCAGTTCCAAACAGGCGCTACAGAATGAGGTAACATGAAGACTTCACTGACATCCATCTTTTATTACCCAGCACAGGATCCTCCCTCCGTATTTGATTAAGGGACAGCCTCAGTGACACTGCGAGTCACCAGCAGGAAGCAAGCTGTACTGCTTGCTTAAGACTTGAGTCTGTCCTGTACTAGAATTGTTAGCTACCGTGTTTAGCTGGATCCATTCAGCTGCAGAATAAGCACACGCCTCTGACATCTACATGGGGCATTTTTGAGCTGAAGGCTCATTCCTACAAGCCAGGGAGAACAGCTGCACCTCTTGCATTGCTGTGCAAACTTCTCAGATTTAGGCAGTGGGGGGATTTTGCCAACAAATTCCACCAAGATTTAAATTTTGACAACAAATTAGTTAAAAGATATGCCTGTCAATATGGCACCACTTTAACAATCTCAAAAAAATGGCAGAAGATAATCTCAAGGTAGAAAATTAGCCATATGTGTTCACTCTGGATGCACAGATACATACACACAGAACAGTATAACATAACATGTATGTAGTGGCTATGTACACCCATGTGTCTCCTGTTAATGTGGCCCACTGATGACCGATCAGCAGAACTCTCATTTATTAAAAACTTATATAATTTGTATTGACTTAATGATAGATGAACATGCAATTGCAGCAGATAATGGGGAGATACATATATATATATATATATATATATATTTATATACATATATCACTTATGTAACTATCCCCATGTTAATATCTTGGGAAACTAGAGGACTACATTGCAAAAGGTTAACGATGTTGACAAAATTCAGAACCATGTATTATTAACTGCTCTTAAGATCATTAGTTATTTAGAAGTGACTGTATGGTTTTTTTTTAATTTTTGAGTTTACTCTAAAGGACATAATATACCTCTGGACCCCTGAAACAAGGACGCACTATGCTGTAGGTTAGAGTGTTCCGTATATGTGGATCTGCTCCTGTTCCTTGATGATATTTTGCATCCTGTATCCCTGCAGATTTTCTGATGGATTTTATGGTAGCTGCTGAGGTTTTAGCTTGTTATCAATCCTTTCAGTGCATCAGAATTTGCTTCCTATACAGGACAACACTGCCCTTTGGTGTATACACACTTTGGTTTCCCATGTCATCTTAGCAGATTGACACTTGGGTTCAATGTGCCAGGTCCCTAGATTTACCCCTTTTTTTACATCCTTCAGTTCTTGGTGAATTGTTTCCCCCTAGAATTCATCTGATAGTCATCCCAACTTTCTTTTTTAAAACACATTTTTACTTATTTGAAAGGGGGGGGGCGAGAGAGAAAGAGAGATCTTTTATCCATTGGTTCACTGCCCAGATGGCCACATGCACAGGGCTACATCAAGCCTGAAGCTTCATCATCACCTCTCACAGGGTGCAGGGTCCCAGTCACTTGGGTGCTCTTCTGCTGCTGTCTCAGGTGCATTCCAGGCTTAACCCATTGTGTCATGAAGGCTCCACCAAATCTCTTATCTTTCAGTTCAGGACTGGACGAGGCCGAAGCTGGGAGCCATTGGGTCACCATATGGGTATAGGCACACATGAACTTGGGCCATCCTGCAGTGCTTTTCCCAGAGGTGTTAACAGACAGCTGGTTTGGAAGTGAATAAACACCCCTATGGAATACAGGTGTCGCATATGGTGGTCAGTATGCCTCGAAATCAGCATAATCTTTGATTAATATTCATTTCACATATTACTTTCCCTTTCACCTTATTGTCTATTTGACTATACAATTCTATTTTAAATGAGTTTTGTAAATAATGCACCACTGATTGACAGTTTTAAACCAACTTCACCAATTTATATCTGTTCATTAATATGTTTAAACTCCTTGCAGTCAATGTAATTGTCAATGTGTTAAAGTTTAAATATACCATGCCATTTTTTTTTTTTGGTTTGTTTCATCTTTGGTCTATTTTGCTTTATTTTTTTCCCCTGCTCTCCTGTGTGTTACTTGAACACATATAAAATTGCTTTTTTTCCCCTATTCTGTTTAAGGATATCTGAGCATACAATGTTTAAGTCATTTGTCTGATGGTACATTGGCACACACACAGTGAACAACATCTACTGAGTATTAATTTCACCAGTTCAAATAAAGTGTACAAACCTTAACTTTCTGTATTTCTCACTGCCCTCAGCTATTTATAATCATCTGAAGTGTTTTTTACATACATTTAGAACTGTATCAGAAACCTCAGTATTCTCAACTGTCAAATATTATTTATAAGACTCAAGGGGAAAGAGAAAGACTTCTGGATTTGCCATTATTTTATTGTGTTCTTTGTTCCCTTGTGATATCACACAGTTTTTTCGTTTTCTTTTTTAATTTTTTCTTTGTTGAGAAAACTTCCACAGGCATTCTTTTAGAGTAGATTTGCTGGTCAAATTCTCTTAGTTATACTAATTTATGGTTTCCTTTTTATTTTTGATACTGTATTTTAGCTGAACAAAGGATTTTGGATTCATGGATCATTTCTTCTAGCATTTGAAAAATATTATGCCAATTTCCTCTGGCCTCCAAGGCTTCTGATTTAAACAAACCCCACCATTTTCTGTTTTCTATAAAGAACCAGGTTCTTCCCAGGACTTCAGGATTTTCCCTTTGTCTTCTGTGCTCCAGTGCTCCAGTATGATGTGCTTCGACACGCAGTCCTTTCATCTGTTGGTATTAGAATGTGGCCCAATTCTCTGAATCTGTAGGTTTTTGGATTTTGCAAACATCTAGGACTTTATCATCATTTCTTGTTTTCTTTTAAAGTCATACATTTTATTTTTAAAGAGATTTTATTAATATAGAGGAGACAGATTTCATAAGCACAGTTCTAAGATGATAAGTATACTTCCTCTCTCTCCTTCTCAATCCCCCTGCTTCCTTCTTTTTCTTCTTTAACCTTTGCAAAGACAGAGCTTCAAACCCCTCTATATCACAGGCTTAATTCTCCACTAAATTTTACTACTTTTCTAGGTGTGATCTCATTTCTTTGACGCCAGTGGCACAATGCTAACTTTTTTTGGGGGGGGAGGCGCAGTTCACAGTTGTCTCAGGTGAATCATAATTGTTAGTCTTTTTCTTTTTTTTTTTTTGGTAATATCTACCACTCTATCTGTATTTTTAAGGATTTTTCCATGTGTCCCCTACGTTCCACTGTAGATCCCAAATGTCTGCATTTAAATTTAATAGTGGTTATTGTACTTCTCAGTTTTAAAATTCCTATTTGATCCTGTTTCTTCCCTGTTTGGTCCTTCATTATGTCTTCTATTTATCTTCTGAAATAATATATTTTGGAGATATTTATAATTGCTTGCTGGAGCCTTTTTGACGAAGGACCAGACGGCTGTTTTTAAAGACAGCTGAAATCATCATCTCGGGATTGCCATCTATCGATTGTTGTTGTTTGAATCATTTGGAAATCTTCCTAATTCTTGAATGATTTACTAGTATTTCTACTGAAGCCTGAACATTTGGTGTATTAAAAAGCTCTAGGTCTTAAGCCTTCTGCTCTAGCTTGTGTATTCTGACATCCCTCTGCCAGGGCTACATGGAAGGGTGCCATCTTGCTGCTGCTGACTTAGTTCCCTTCTTGGCCCTACTGACCCCACAGAAGGAAATACTTCATTAGCACTGACTGAGGGTGGTCTTTCCAGTACCCTCTAATCCTTTGCTTGTATTACCATGGCTGGGAGGGGTACAAGTGCCTCATCACTGCCCCCAGATTACCTACAGTGACAACAAAGAGCGGCCTCATTTTCTTTGGGCAGTGGTGAAATTCCCTATTCTCCACTAGGCATCCTCTGGCACTACTCCAGTAAGAGAATTAAGTCTCTAGTTACTGCTGGCCCCAAGTGGTCTCCATTAATAATGCAGGTATTGGGGTCCCTTAACGTTTCCCATCAGAACAGGGAGAGTCTCAATGCTTCATTTTTTGTATTCAACGACAACACTGTTCAGGTGCTGTAAAAACACCATCATCTGTTAACCACCCCTTCCAAGTTGTTCTAGAAGTCTAATAATTATTTTTTTGTTATAAGTCTCCAAATAATATAATTACATAACTTGCCTAAAATCTACTTGAGATTTTTTTATCTGTCCTCCTTTTCTTTTTCTGTTATGTCTTTTTTTTTTATTGTTGTTAACATTGTATTATGTGATACAGTTTTATAGGCACTGGGGATTCCCCCCACCCCTCCCATACCCCTCCCCCCATGGTGGATTCCTCCACCTTGTTGCATAACC